TGACTGGTGCCCAGGTTGGAGTGCACAGAGCTGCACTTATTCCTGTGTGATTGGTGGAACTGTGGAGAGTAAAGACCCTCTGGATTTAAAGTTCCTGTGTAAATTGTTCAAGTCACAATTCTGTGTTAAATAATTATATTTAATTATAGTGAAGGGACTCCAAGAGAACTGGAGAGGGATTTTGACAAGGCATGGAGTGACAGGGTAAGGTCTGGTTTTAAACTGCCAGAGGGCAGGGTTAGATGGGATATTGGGAAGAAATTCTTCCCTGTGAGGGTGGGAGACCTTGGCACAGGTTGCCCAGAGAAGCTGTGGCTGCCCCATCCCTGGAAGTGTCCAAGGCCAGGTTGGACAGGGCTTGGAGCAACCTGGGCTAGTGAAAGGTGTCCCTGCCCATGGTAGGAAGTTGGAATGAGATGAGCTTTAAGGTCCCTCGCAACCCAAACCATTTCATGATTCTTTATTTTCAGACATACCAGTTAAACATAGAGGTTCAGGCAGAGGACAGAGTGATGGGATGACAAGGTTCCATTACTGGCCTTGCCCCTCCTCTCCTTTGAAGTTTTTGTCAAATTAGTTAATTTCTCTTTGATTGGGTTCACTTTAACTCTCTCTCATGTGTGCACATTAATTTAAATATGTTAATATTGTAGCTGTAATATGTAACCTAATGAAGAAAGTGAATAGTTTATCTCTGGAAGAGGAAGGGGAATGAAAGCTGTTCTGGAAGGCCGAGTCAGAAGAGGACTGGAAGGGCTGGCAGCAGTGTCATGATCTGAGCTTGCTGGGTTTCCCCGGCCAGCCACTGATGGCTGACTGGCCACTAGGCCTGCCTCTGTAGAATCCCAAAATCCCAGCCTCCAAACGGGCATTTGCTCTCATAGGTGTCCTCTTGGCTCCCCTTGTGCCAGGCACGGACTGACATTGTGTGCCACATGTGCAGCAAGAGCCCGGGCAGTTTCTGTTCCAGAGAAGCCCAGCAAACCTGTCAGGGTGTGGAGTCGGCCTCTGCTGCCTGGAATCTTCAAAAATTATTTCTTTAAGGCAGAATGTGTGTCTGGAATGCACAGCTCTCCTCAAGAGCCTGCCAGGTGTCTGGCAGGGCAGAGGAGTGACAATCCACGGTGGGTTCTGTGAGTGTGTGTCACCATATGTAGCTCTCATTATATCTGCTATTGGAAACATAGATCTGTGTACATGTTGTGGTTTCTGGAAATGCAGGAAATGCCACGTGCTTCCTCTTCTGGAGGTTTGTTGGATTCCATTCTGGGTTTCATTTTTTCTCAGCAAAATTTACCTGAGTTTACATCCCGGGTCACTCCACGGTTTGGGTGTGCTCAGCTGTGTGTTCCTCCTGCACGTTCACTGCTGGCTGTGACTGCTTCACGGGGAGTGTGCTGATATCCCTTTTGTTTGCAGGCTGGACACAGCCCACTGCCCGTGTTGGGTGCTGTGGGTGTTACTGAAAGAGGGTGTTTGTGTTTCAGATGAATTCCTGATGTTTGCAAGCTGTGTTGAGGGGGAGCAGGTAAGGAAAGGGGTGTCTGTGGGGTGACTGTGGTTGAGATCCAGAGATGCCACGAGTTACAACGCCAGTGAGGAGATGGTAAGTGCAGTCCTGCACCAAGTGTGTCACTGGGCAGAGTGCTCTACTCCCAGTTACAGACTGGAGCTGCCCTTTAATGGTGTTGGCTGCCCACAGCAGTAAAGGATTGCCCAAGCACTGGGCTTCACTGGGGGTGCCCTGGAGTGGTCCAGGGAGGGGGATGCTCCGGCCAGGGGCCACCACAGGCACTGGCCCTGCCCACAGCACCACCTGTTACAAAGGGCAGGAGGGGGAGTGTGGCAGAACACGCAGCCCAGAGAGAGGAGTAAAGCTGTTGCACTCCATGTGCAACATGTGCACTCCATGTTGCACTCCATGTGTAACTCAGCTGTGAGGTACCTACCAGGCTGCTCGCCAACTCACCAGCTACTCAAGGCCCATATGCACTCTATGTCCCTTTTTACAATACTGCTGGATTTTTCCATTTTAAAATTGCTGAACTGAAGTCGTGGTTGAAATTCAATTACAATCCTATTTGAAAAATACCCAAAGGCCTGGAATAAGCAGGATTTGGGGTTGTTCCCTGATGCTTCCAAAGCAGAGGGCAGTAGGAAATGATCAATTCATCGTGTCGGTTGCAATCAGAATTGCTGTTGCCTGTTGTGTTCAATGACAAACCAGGCCTTGATGTTTTTAAGTCCTCAAGCCTAAGCTTTTTCCCAGGAGGCTTTCTGCTGGGAGGGTGGGCAGGTCTCTTTGGTTAGTTGGGGATTATTGCTTGCTTGGTTTTTTTTTAATTATTTTTTATTTTTATTTTTATTTTGTTATGTTTTGTTTTTTTGTTTTTTTTTTAGAACAAGCAAAACTGTTGTTTTCTGCTTTGGTACAAGGAAGTTTTTCAGATCCCAAGCACTTGCCACAAATGCTCTTCAGAATCATTTTTTCTGCTTTTTCATGATGTGAGAGTTGGCCAATGCTTTGAGGAAGGAAAGTGTGTGTCAAGGAGGTGTTTCTGAAGAACACTTACCTGGAATCTCGCAGTGAGTGGGAGCACAGAGCCTGCCTGGCTGCCTGTGGTCACGGTCTGAACCTGCCGGCCGCCGCTGCCTTTTCATTGTTCTTTCTGAATTTTGTGTTTCTTTGTGTTCTTGGAGCTCCAAAATCCCCCCCAGAGCAGAACTGATTCTTTAGCTGCAAACCATGCTGATCTGGAGGCTCAGCAGCATCAGGCAACCCAGGTCCTGCTCGTGCCACAGGGCCTCGGGGGGACAAAAATGTCACAGAAAATGCCACAATCATTTTTTAAGGAAGGATGGAGTGTCTTGGGGAGCACAGCCTGCATGTGCTGGAAGGGTTCACTCCTCAGGTAAGGCTTATCCCTTTGAGGAGAGCAAGTATGAGCTCTGATTTTGTGTCGATAAGTCACAAACAGGAAAAAAATATTAACACTTTAAGCCATGTTTGTGAAAAGGCATGAAAAGTGTCTGGAGAAAAAGAGGAAATTTGTGATTGCGTATAGAATCACAGAATCCCAGAATGGGTTGGAAGGGGCCTTAAAGCTCATCTTGTTCCAGCCTCCTGCCAAGGTGGGTTGATGTGCTGACATCTAAGTCAGCTGGTGCAAAAAGCACTTTACATCAGCCTGAACTCCAGCATAGCACTGTGCAGTCTCCACTGCTAACTCACTACCAGTGGCACTGGATGTCACTGGGTATTTTATTTGGGTCTGTTACTGCTCCTCCACAGTTCAGCATTAAAAAATATTTAGGGGTTTCCATGGCAGTTTGGACCAAATTAGTTGCAAAAATGTGAGGTTAGTGGTTCCTAACGCATTCAGAGCAACTTGAAAATAGGCTCAAAATTACATGAGACTTCGACATGTTTAGGCTGGTATCAGGAAAAGGTTCTTCCCCCAGAGGCTGGTTGGGCACTGCCCAGGCTCCCCAGGGCAGTGGGCACAGCCCCAAGGCTGCCAGAGCTCCAGGAGGGTTTGGATGACGCTCTCAGGGACAGGGTGGGACTGTTGGGGTGTCTGTGGAGGGGCAGGAGCTGGACTGGATGATCCTTGTGGGTCCTTTCCAACTCAGGATATTCCATTCCATTCCATTCCATTCCATTCCATTCCATTCCATTCCATTCCATTCCATTCCATTCCATACTGCAGTGTTTCCTGTTGGCAGCAAATTCATGTCTGCATTATTATTCACCGGTAATGACATCATCTGGACCTGAAGGAAATCAGTTTTGGACAAGTTTGTTACTGCTTCCATTTGAGTTCAGATTTACTTTTTAAACTTTTAAATATGTTGTGCTTTGAAATGGCACAAACCCACATAAAAGCTTTGATAAGAAGGGAGAAGAAAAATCTCGTCTCGGAGATACCTCGTTTGCCAGAATAAGACCATAGGAGTAAATTGTCCTACTGGGGACTGAGAGGTGGGAAGTTCTTTTTCAAGAGCACTTAGATACTATTTCATTTGTCTTCCTCAGCTGGATTAAAGTTTGTGGGCTTGGTTGTTGTATTTTTAAACAGGGAAATGTTAAAGGTGTAAGCAGGGAAGTGCTGGTGGCTCCTGGCACTGGGAGCGTTGGTCTTGGCTGCCAGGTGAGGCCGCTGCCATCCCAGGCAGGATGCCATGTGTTTCCCAGAAAAGAAGCTGGGAGCTTGGTTCCATTTAAAATGTCTGGTTACATCAAATTCTGATACTTGCTGAGCTTATGAACTCTTCCTTCCGTGTGCTCAGAGGAGATTGGAGTCCCTCAGGTGCCTTGCCCAGAACCTTGAAGACCCCTGTGTGCTTCCTGCTGTTCTTTGCTTTAGTTCACATTCCAGTTTGGGCAGATTTACCTTATGGAATGCTGGTGTGCTGCACTGGAAGGTCGTTCACACTTCAGCCATGTGACTCAAAGGTGTTTGGTATTGCCCTGCTTCCATTCCAGCAGCTACAAGGGCAGAGATTCCTTCTGGCTGTTGGTCAGATCGTCGTACCCTGAACAGTTCTGTAAATCCCACCACGTCTCCCTAGGTTAGAATGAGCATGAACCTCTCTTCCCTCCTCAGAAATTCCCAGGGCTGGGGCCCCATCCAGAGTCATGCTGTGTTTCTCACAGGAGTAAGCTCCAGTTCACCTCCATGTCGTGAGACTGTTTCTGTGTGTTTGCTGAGCCAGGCTCATCCGAAAATAGGGCTTAAAAGAACAGTTTTGTAAAATGTAATGTTAATTTGGAGTTAATTCATTTTCTAGGAATGGCCTATGACATTCCTGAGGGCTTGTACTGCTGCAGCACCCGATGGGCTGCCAGTTATTGCAAGGCTTTGCAGGAGATGTCTGTGGTGTCCTCGAGGAGATGCTGTTGTGAAAGCTGTAAGGAACAATCTCCCATGGCAGGTGTTGCTGTGGTGTGTAGGTTTGTGCTCTGTAATTGCTGATGAACAGTGATAAACCCCAAACCACACAGTCCACAGCAGGAATCTGCTCAGCAGCAGAGCCTTGGGACCTGCTTCAGTAAATAGAGGTTCTGTTGGAGGCAAGAGGGAGAAAAGGGGCCCCAGCATCAAACCACCTTGACCGATCCATCATCGTCAACCTGTTCCATCATAGAGCTTGTAAAAGGGAGAGTGTGAGGGAGACCAGTGCTACCAGTCAGCTGGTAAAGTGTGTCCAGCCAGGGTGGAATTACCAGGTGGAACAAGTCATTATGAGTCCATGGACATAAAGGACACCATTTCACAGCAGTCCAGTGCCTGGTCTCCTGGGACACCCGTGTGATGTATGCCTATTGCTGCCATGGTTTTCTAAACATACAGGTTTGCTTTGTTTCCCTCTATCAAGTATGTTATCCATCATTCCCAGACACACCTGCCATGTGTAGCAAAGGTGAAAATGAAGCATCTCCACAATGGTTGTTTTCAGCAATGGGACAGTGCTGAGCACTCTGTGGGCAGGAGGATCCTGTGCTGTCACATGGATGGGTTATCCCGGAGGTGAGCTGGCTGGAGGGTGGCATGGCAAGGACATGCAGAGTGCAGCATGGATGTACATGGAGACATGTAAAGCCAATTTGCATCTTGAAATAGGAATAAAATGTGATAAAGCTGTAATTAAGTCATTTGAAATTTGATGTTCATCTTTTGAAAAATGTATTCGAAGTGCTGAAATGAAATAAGGATGCAAGAGCAGGTCATGGAGCTCAACAACAGGAACAATCAAGAATGGTTTGGGGGTTCTGTTAATAATTTATCATTCTTTAATTGTGTTGTTGTTGGGTTTAATATATTACGTTCTTTGTAAATATGACACTGAAAATCATTCCCATTCCTTCTTCCCTCCTCGTGATTCTGTCAGCTCATTTTGGAGCTTCCCCTGTGAACGTTACTGTTGGCTCAGGATGTTTGTCATGCAAAATAGAACATGAAAAGGTAACGTTGGGGTACTATCAGGATTTCCGTGTGTTTATAAATTTATATATATATATATTTATATATGTATAAAGGGCACTTTGAAAATGAGAGCCAATCATTGATCAGTATTTTTAGGGAGATCTGAGCATGCTCATGCAAATTACAGTGATAAGTTACCTCAGATTTAAAAATAAGTTATATAAATGGTTATATAAATGGATGGCGCAATTAAAGCAAGTCAAACACATGCAGTAGTCAGAGTTGTATTTATGTGTATAAATACACACATGTACAAGTGGTTATTGCTGTACGAAGTCACTGATGTTGCCTGGGCAGAGCAGCTCTGACAGCGCTCAGCTGGTTTGGTTTAAAGTGTTTATGCAGCCTCAGTAACTGAAACACTAAAACTTGGACTTGTGGGACCTCCCATGGAGATGTTTAACCCAGAGGGTTGTGTACAGTGAAATCACTCCCATTGCTCGGTATAAGTGAGCCCTCAGACTCGGGTACAGGACGGCAAAGGCATCATTTGATTTCAATAAGATGAAAACCAGTGATTGAAACACATTTCCCCTCCTCAGAGCTTGATTATTTGCAAACCCACCTTTGCCAATGTCAGTGCAGATGTGCCTATCCACCTTGAAATCCAAACCCATTTTGTTACCTGTGCACAAGAAAAGCACCCGAGCTCCTTTAGCAGTGGAGAAAGCTCTGTTTCTTCTCCAGTTCTTGATTCAAATGTCATGGGGTCTGGAGGTTCACTCTGGATCTATCCACAGAAACTGGAAATTATCCCTCAAAAGAAAACAAGAGTGAGAAAGATCAGCCTGAGGTGCAGCTTTACACTGCTGAAATTGTGGGGTGTGAGATCACAGACCAGCACGGCAGTTCTTCATACAGCAAGATTACTTGGACATTTTTAGATGTGCCCAGGGAGTACCTACAGACACTTTTATCCCCTTGGGCAGGTCCTTCTCCTTCCTCTGCCTTCCTCTTGCACATCCAGAGCTTGAATTCTGGAAACAGGCATATTCAGGATTTGGTGATGGAAATTTGGTGAGGGTGCTGTCTGTAGGCACCTGGGGGTTGGGTTATGGCAGCCTCTGAGGTGCTGCCAGGAGCATCTCCCTGCTGAGGACGGACACTGCCACACCCTCTGCAGCCAGGGGAAGGTCCTGGAAGGGTCTGTGTACACAGCAGGGAAGGGAAAATATAGGGATCCAGGTTTAATGAATGAGGATTGGTACAGCCAACTGCAGTGCAGCTGGACCAGTGGACAGCAGCTGAAGGTGGGATCCCTGTGACTTTCAAAGGAAACAAGCTTTCAGAGAAGAGAGAACAGAAAGTAGCCCTGTACTAGTGACTGTGAAGAAAACTAACTGTATCCCAAGTGTAATCAGCACACCCGTCCCCAGGGTGTGTGACATCCCTGCTGTCCCCATCCTGCAGCGCGAGGGAGCGGAGCTGCTCCGAGTGCTGCGGCTTTTGGAGGACAAGTTACAAAATTAAAAATTTCTGAGGGGTCTATTGATTGCAGGTGGGAGTTTGTAGCAAGCCAGTGATACAGGTAGTTTGGTAGGCTGTGGAACAGCCGGTGTTACTGTAGGAGTATTTGCAGTAACCTTCCTGTTGGAAAGAGAAATGGAACGACAGGGTCGTGGTGAGGCTGCAGTCAGTTTTTAGAGGTTTTACATAATGGCTGATTTCTTGATATGTTTGCGCTTCTTTTTGAAAGTTAATTCCTAGAATTTCAGAGGGCAAAAGGGATGTGTTTCACCAAGCAGTAACACACTGGTGTGTGTTACAGTGCTGCATTACGGGGGAAATGAGCCAGCACAGCTGAACCTGGCTGTTGCTCCTCAGGTCTTGGGTTTAGCACAGCTTTTGGTGTCCCTTCTCCTGGAGGTCTCTTCCAGGAAGGTGCCCTGTCTGCTCGGCCACTGGTGGAGTGGCATTCCTGGTAGAGATGCCTTTTGTCTTTGAATCCTTGGGACAGCAAAGAAAGGCTGGAGTGAAATCAAATTCCCAGTGCTGCCTGTGGCCGTGGTGGGCTGGTGGCTGCCAGGGCTCACCCAGACTGGTCTTCCTCAGGAGTTGGCTGTGTTGGTCTGTGGGGTCTCATCCATGTGTGTGATGTGTTCTATTGAACCATGAGACCTTGGCCTGTGGGGCCTCAAGGAATCGCGCAGTGAAGCATTGCTGGTTTTTGGGTTTCTGACCTTCAGCTTTGGGAAACAGTTTTGTTGCTGGCACACATTGGTTCTAGGTAGGCCACATAACAGTGTGATGCTGGCAAAGACCAGGGTTGTGCAATAGCTGTAGGTTGCTGTGATCTAGAAACTTCATTTATTTTAGTTTGATTCGTTTCCTTTTTTCCAAGATGGGTGATATTTCATTTATACAACGACAACAGGTTTTTTTTACTGAGGAACAAAAGGCACATGCTAATAGCAGACACTTCCCTAAAGCAGTTTGACCTGTGATGGGGAGAAGGTGTCCTATGAGTGAAAACACATGCAGGCTGGATCACAGCGCTTCTCTGTGGAGGAAAGTTTATGCTGAATTTGTACAAGGCTGTTCTGACTGTGGCTTTTCCACAGTCTGCAGCCTGGAGCTCTTCATGGAGCTGTGGTCAACCGCTGAGGTGACACGTTGTGTGAGGAAGAAGTGCTGAGGCACTAATGTCACGGAATTTTGTTGATTATACAGTAATGCAAGGGTTATTTTCCTCGAGACAATTCCCTTTCCCGCTCCCTTCTGCACTGGGCAGAATGCAGCCCATGGTTTCCAAAATGTATGTGAAAATGAGTCCATTCCTGGGATTTTTTGTTTACTGTGGTACTTGACTGTCAGTGCATGTGAGAGAATGCACTTCATCACTCCATCCCTCGGTTGTGTGCAGCAGATAAATAAGGATTTATTTTGATCAACCCAGCACTAATTCCATAGAGAAGTTTTGTGGTGTGTGTGGTGATAGAGATAGTTTGTAGGGATCTGGAGAGTTGCTTGTGCAGCCTGGTATGAGCTGGGAGCCAGAGGGAGGAAGGGTAAAGGGCAGTTTTATGCATGAATCCACTTTGTGGTGTATGACCACTAACCCAGCACAGCGTTTTCATCCAGGCAAGCCCCAGGACAAGGACTCAGCTTGCAAGTGCCCTTTATAGAGCTCTCAGTGACCTCAGGGGGAAATCCTCGGTGTCCACCCGCTTGTTTTTCAGATCTCAGCCATCAGGAAGTTTAGGAGGAACTGTTCTGCTGACAGAGGCTTTTGTTAGGAGTGTCCTGTGAGGAGACAGGTCTGAGGGCATCGAGCCTGTAAGGTGAGCGTCAGGCTGGTCCATGAGTGCACTGGCAACGACCCCCAAAGCCACATACTCCTGGACATGGAGCTGCTGCTTTCCTTAGGACAGCGCAGAGAGGGTTTGGGGCTGAAAGAAGATGTGCTTTAAGGTTCCTTCCAACTCAAACTGTGCTGTGATTCCATTCTATGACTGTCATTGGAAAGAGCTGCCCTTACATTAAATGACCTGTCCTCAGTGAGGCCTGGGCTCCCCTTCCCTATTCACAAGAGAAACACTCTTCAGATTCCAGGGCAAAATGCTTCAAGCATATTCACTCTCACAAGAATATTTTCTCGAGTGTATTCCCAAGAATATTTTCTTGAGTGTCTTCCCATGCTTCCACTCTGCCTTGGGAAACAAGTTGTTTCTGCTCAACCCAACGTGTGCAGCAGGATGTAGATCAAAGTCTTGCATTGCAAAGGTCTGTGCTCTCTGCTGACTGTAGGTCACAATGAGTGGTCTGAAAACGTGAAACATGAGAAGACTGAAAACTGAAACATGAGAGGAGCTTTATGAGTCCCTACAAATATCCACAGTATTTACTTTTGGCGGTCTTGCATCTAGTCTTCAGCTGGGGTTGAGGTCTATTGTGTTAAGAGATGTTGGGGATTAGAAGTCTCTCCTCAGCAGTGCTCATCATCTGTAAGACAGAATCAAACCAAAAGGTTTTAATGTCATTTTATGACAATGATTAGGCATGTTAATGCAGATCTCCTGAGTACCTGGATGTTTTATTGCAGACAAGACCATTTTTCCGTAGTGTTCTTTTTCTTCTTTTTGCTTACTTAAAAGGTACTTTTTTCCTTACTTGTTCCTGTCATGTTGTTGTTCCTGAAGTTATTGCATCTGTCTCTTGACTACTAGAAGGGTCTGGAGCACAAGCCTGATTAGGAGCCTCTGATGGAGCTGGGGGGGGCTCAGACTGGGGAAAAGGAGGCTTAGGGGGGACCTTCTCACTCTCTACAACTTTCTGACAGAAGGGGGAAGCCGGGGGGGGTGTCAGGCTCTGCTCCCAGGGAACAAGGGATGAGAGGAAACAGCCTCAAGTTGTGGCAGGGGAGGTTTAGGTTGGATACTGGGAAAATTCCTTCATGGAAAGAGTTGTCCAACCCTGGCACAGCTGCCCAGGGCAACGGTGGAGTCACCATCCCTGGAGGGATTTAAAAGATGTGCAGATGTGGCACCTGGGGACATGGGTTAGTGGTGGCCTTGGCAGTGCTGGGGAATGGTTGGACTTGGTGATCTTCAGTCTTTTCCAACCTAAATGATTCTGTGAATCTGTGATTCTACTGGGCCAAGAGTCCTGTGTGTGTCACTCGAAGGAGGGGACGCTGTGTTGGTCACAGAGTGCCACCAGCATGAGCTGTGGGGAAGGGACCCTGCCCTGCAGGCGGGTATCGCCGTGCAAGGGGAGCCCGGAGATGTGCTCCACTCGTGATGGTTTGTGTCTGAATTCTTCTGCAGAGAGCAAAAGGTGTCTGTTCAGGTGTATCTACCTCAAGCTGAGCAGCAGAAGAGCGGAGGTGCTGTCCCGCCGAGCAGGCCGGGTGTCGTGGCTGGTGTGTTTGGCGGTTGTCGGTGGCACCTGCACGTCAGTTGAAGATGAAACAGAAACTGTGTGTAAAGAACAGAAGGTGACCAGCGAAGGGAGCAGAGGAGAGGAGGAAAGCAACACAGACAAAACACGTGCAGAGCAGTTCTCTCGTCACACCTGCAGGCTGCTGGATTGCCCTGAGAGCGGGAGCTCTGTCGTCCCGGCGGTGGCCTGGGCTGGGGTGCAGTGGGTGCTGGGCAAGGCCTGCACAGTGGTGTGGTCTGCTTTGTCACCTTCCCCTGCTCCCAGGCTGGGATGAGCCCTTCTTGGCTCCCTGAAGCTGCACTGTGGCCACCCAGCCTGGAAAAAGTTTTTACATGTGGCCAGATTATTTTGTGGACCAGTGCTGCTGCTTTCAGTGGGCTTACACAAGGAATAAACTAAAACTAAGAGAATGGTTTTGAGAGGAGGGTTATTTTTTTGGTATTTGTTTAATGGACTTCTTGACATTTTGGGTTTAATTCAAACTTTGGCAAGTTTCTCCTTGAGTTTGGTTTTGTTCCTGCTTTTTACCACTGCCTCTTTCTCTGGTTCCTTCCCTCTTGGCTTATTTCCCATCTGCTTTTGGGAAACCCAGAAATGAGGAGGGGAAGAAGCTGGAGTATTCAGCCTGGAAAAGCGAAGGCTTCAGGGAGACCTTAAATCCCCTTCCAGTGCCTAAAGGGGCTCCAAGAGAGCTGAAGAGGGACTTTGGAAAAGAGATGAAGTGACAGGACAAAGGGGAATGGCTTCCCACTGCCAGAGAGCAGGGTTAGATGGGATATTGGGAAGGAATTCTTCCCTGTGAGGGTGGGGAGGCCCTGGAACAGGTTACCCAGAGAAGCTGTGGCTGCCCCTGCATCCCTGGAGGTGTCCAAGGCCAGGTTGGACGGGGCTTGGAGCAACCTGGGCTAGTGGAAGGTGTCCCTGCCCATGGCAGGGGGTGGAACTGGATGGGCTTTAAGATCCCTTCCAACCCAAACCAATCTGGGAGCCTGGTGTGGCTGAGAGCAGGATCTGGCTCTGATTACCCAGGTGTCACGGGAAGGTGATGAGGTTTGGGTGCAGATGGGAATATGTTACTGTGCAGTAAATGGCATGAGCCATTCTTCCCATGGTGGCAGTGGTGATATCTGTTCAAGGGGTTGCTTCTGATGTCATCCAGATGAGAGGAATTGCAGTCAACTGGGATTGTGTGACTGAGCATTGGGGTCAGTCTCTAAGTCTTTAATTATTTTAAATTATGTGACAGAGAGATTGAATAGAATTTTAAGTTGACATAAAATAATTAGAGGGGAAAAAAGTACCATCTGACACTTTTCACCCACCCTTGTTCTTGTGAGAACTGTCAGCAGTAGGGATTGGGAGATCTGGGCTTCAATTCTGAAGCAAGGTGTGCATCCTTGCTCTGTACATTCCCTCAGTGAGAAGAGATTGTTGGAAAATATAATTCCTTTCAAACTAAGCAGTAATTCTCCTTCGAATTATATCTTAATAAAAAAGAGAACATCTTGGGCAGTCTCTGATTTAGACACACTGCCTTTTAAATCTGTCCTAATTATAGTGCTCATCGCTTAACATTCATTTAATGAAGATCCTCATTTATATGGACAAGGTTGGCAAATAGGAATTAATGCCATTAAAACCCATGAGTCTCCCAAAGGAAACAAATCAAAAGCTCTATGAAGGAAATGAAACCTTACTATTTATAACAAGGCAAAGCACAGAATCACCAGCCATAGCTGGCTCAGGGCCCTGCAGTGGATCTGGTTTGGAAAGGACCAGTGCCACGCTGCAGGGACCTGCCCAAGGGCACCGCTCCGGCCGGAGCACAGCTTCCTTTGAGGAGCTTCCACTCCAAGGGTCCAGTCTTGTAGGTGGACTTTGGCATTTTTCTTGGTCTTGGTTTCTGGATCAAGACCAGACCTCCTCTCATCAGCCTCAGAAATAATCACAATGGTTCATCAAGGCCCAAAGATACAGATGGAAGGAAGACATCACGGTTGTCTCAGTGGATCTGCAAAAGTGGGGTTGATGCACATCTCTGCTTCTGTCATTTCACTGTATGCTGATATAGAACGGCTTGGTTTTAAGAAACACTGTCACATTGTTTCCATAGGTGTTGATTTCAACAGGCACGGGAGGTGAATGGTTCTCTGGCTCCTTAAGAACCTTGGTCGTGCTGAGCACTGTTTCACTGGTGTTACAGAAATTCAAGTGATGGCAGCGAGAGTGAGGTACAAGCCTAAGAGCCCTAAGGGACCCCTGTGACCCTCACAAATATCCCCTTACAGAAGGCTCCAAGTCTCCGGTGACCCAAGGACCCAAAGGAATGGCTGGAGCTGTACCAGGGCAGGGTCAGGTTGGATCTCAGCCAAAGGTTCTTCCCCCAGAGGGTGGTTGGGCACTGCCCAGGCTCCCCAGGGCAGTGGGCACAGCCCCAAGGCTGCCAGAGCTCCAGGAGGGTTTGGACAACACTCTCAGGGACAGGGTGGGATTGCTGGGATGTGTGTGCAGGGCTTGGACTGGATGATCCTTGTGTGTCCTTTCCAGCTCAGGATATTCCGTGACTGTACGTTGTGTCAGCAGCTCAGCCAGTCCCTGTCGGGGTGAGTGTGACCAGTCCTGCCCTGAGATGGGTCACAGTGTTCAATGTCTGTCAGTACACGTGTGATCTCAGACTCGGAGGTTCCTCTCAGCCTCTGAGCATCTCCCAGATAAAATCAATAATAATTCCCTGATGGATACATGGAGTCTATTCACGGTCAAGACCGTGGTTGTGTGAAAATGTTCTTTGTGTCTGACTGTGTAGGTTTATGCATATACAGATGTGTCTGTGTCTCCAGTGGGGAAGAGATAGTGACTTTCCTTTGTATTTTGTTTTAAAATTCTGAGAGGATAGGGGATAAATTTGACAAGTTCCACTATTCATGTCAAGTTTGTAGAGTTTTATTCTGGAAACTAAAATGTCTTGTAGTGAATTTAAAATGAAATAATCAAAATAAAATATAAAATGAAATAATAAAATACAATAAAATACAGTGCAATAATTAAAATAAAATACAATACAATAGAATAAAATAAAGTGATACAGTTTAATCAGAAGCTAAACTTATAGAAAAAATTCATGAATATTGCAATGAGAAAAGGGACTGTAGATAGAACTTCCCCTGAAACCCAGAGAAAAGGTATTTGACACAGAATAGAACACCCAGGTGTGAGAAGACATGGGATAGATTTGTGTGCATTTGAAAAACATTCATGACATTCATTCATCTTGGCTCAAAATGGGTGTTTGTCCCTTTTATATTTCCTTTTCCATATTTAGGTTTCTTCCTATTAATAGGACATAAGCAGATCCAAATTGAGCTCCCACATGCATGGAAGAGGATGGGCTGCAAGAGCAGGAATTGGCTCAAATGATTACAATTCCTGTGTGAATTTACCTTCTGGTGAGGCATTGTAGGTTCCCATGGTTTTGGTCCCTGGAATGTGCTGTTCCTGGGATAGTGTGGCAGTGCTGCAGCCTCTTGCAGACAGTGCACCACAGGAAAGGCACATCTCACATTCTTCCTACATATCCCTGCCTCTGTTCCTGCTTCAGGAAAGGGGCAGTGAGGATGTTTCAGAGTTTATTTATGTTAATACTTTGTCTTCTACACGGCATCCTGTCTCTTTGGGGCTATTTTCATCTTGTAAATTAACATGTTTTGCTTAAAGCATGGGTGAGAGCCAGATCACATCTCTGCTCCTCGCCTGACCTACTTATGGCATCTTCAGAAAGCAGAATTGGGTCTCCCTGCCTCTTTGCTCCCTCATGGAGGGCAGAGCCAAGGACCTGCTTGGGTATCCAGCAGCAGGGGATGGAGCTGAGACTGTGACCCAGTTCACTGCCACCCGCTCCTAATAGCAAAGCCAGGGGCATTGGAGAAGTGACCTGAATCCAGATGGAGCTGGGGCTTCAGAGTCATAGAACCACAGAATTGTTAAGTTTGGAGAAGACCTCTAAGGGTTTGGAAAAGACCCTTAAGTCAGCAGGGGCTGCAGAGGGAAACGATTCATCAGCAAACACACCTGAGCGAAGGCCACCACTGTTTCCTTGGTGAATTTCTTACCTTTTGTGAGGGAAGATATTGAAAACTAAAGCAGCAATTAGTGACCTGTAGCATGTTGAAGTGAGCATAGACACCCATGTGACAGGACATCAAGCTTTTCATGCTGCTCATCATAAAGAGTGTTGTTTCCCTGGATTGGCACCCCAGTGTTTATGTATTGCTGCCTGCAATGTAGGGAACAGCCATCTTTGAGCAACTTGTTTTCATGGTGAAGCGGAATCCGAGAATCACAGTATGGTTTGGGTTAGAAGAGACCTGGAAGACCAGGTTGTTCCAAGCTGCATCCAACCTGGCCTTGGACACTTCCAGGGATGGGGCAGCCGCAGCTTCCCTGGGCACCCTGTGCCAGGGCGTTGTGTTCTTGGGTGCTATAGGGAAGGAACTGGGTTTAGGCTTTGGAAATCTAGAAACTTACCTGTGTCCCGTGAGCTCAGGCTTTTCTGAGCGTGGTCCCTCAGGAGTGGCTTCAGTACAACTAGGCTGAAGCATAGGTAAGCCCACCAGCAGCAGGTTTTGGTTGGTCAGCTGGAGTAGCCCTGGTGTCACCGCCGCCCACAGCCCCGTGCAGGCACTCAGGGCTCCAGGTTGGTTTGGTACCCACTTGTGATGGAGTTGTACTCTCCATTATTGTCAGGGCTGCAAAAGCTGGGCTTAACCTTTGCAGATACCCAGTGGTTCTTCAAGCTCCTTACTTTCCAGAGTAACTTCTGGGACTGGTGGATTTTGAAGAGTTACATTGAACGTGTTCAACATTCAAAGTCAAATGTATCCCAATCAGTTTGGCCAAACTGTGAGAGATGAGACGTAGATCTGCACTGATTTATTAATAATCACTTTTAATAATTGTATGAATAAGTGAGAAGTTACTTGGCTATCAGATTTTTTTACCAGCTGTCCTGATGTCCCTTCAGAGTCCCTGGACACCTGACACACCCCAGTATGCCCTTGGAAAACAAGAGGCAAGATGTTTGCTCAAAGGATCCATCTTTCCTCTGAGGCCATCTGAGGACTTAGAGATCAGAAGAGCTTTAAACCCACTGAAACACCTTCTTAAGAGCAGGGTGGTGGTGGCTCTCAAGTGACACAGGGAGAAAGCTTCTTGGGAAGGAACAGCTGGGGCTGTGTAGTCTGTCTGGAGAGAGGTTTGTATTAAATAGAGTGTCCAAAGGAGCCAACAGAGATGGGGAAGGGCCTTGATTTGAAGCCGTGGGAGGACACTGAGGGCACTTGGTGTGTTCAGCTGGAGCAGAGGAGACTGAGGGGAGACCTCAGTGCAGTTCCAATTCCTGGGCAGGGGCAGA